GGGTGTCGCCTGTGAGGTTGGAAGACCTGCCTGCCATTGGTGTGGGGAAGGCAGCCGTCGTGCTGTCTGGAGCTCGGCACTGTCCTTGTCCCCTCGTCCCTGCACTGAGTGGCCCCTAGCACACCCCAGAGGTGAAACAACAGGAGTGGGTCCCCCTAATCTGGGCTAAGTACACGGTGTCCTGGGAGATGCTGGCTGCGCAGTGGGGGTCCCCCGCTCTGCACGTAGTGGGCCACTGACACCTGCAGGAGGAGCCTCCCTTCCTCCAGAGCTGTCCTAGATGCAGAAGAAGGTAAAGTGCTGGCCCACGGTGGCCTCATTGATCCCGCCTCCACGCAGCAAGGCGAGCCCGGGGTGCTTCTGCCCGCTGGGGCCCGGGTGCTGGGTGATGCCGGGAGATGCCGCTCTGCTGAAGAGCCTGTGGCTCAGGCTTAGTCCGGCTGGGCAGGAAGGGAGCAGCTGTCTGTGAGCCCCAGTCCTGGGGTTGAACAGGAGCCCTCCCTCCTGATCCGGCCTCCCAGGGCTGCTGAGATGAGGACAGTGGGTCAGAGACCCCAGAAAGGGCTGAGAGCCAGCAAATGCCAGGTACTTCTGAGGGCCTGCGGCCCGAGCCCTGGAACAAGTTCTGCTCATTTACTTGGTATGAGAGGCTGCAAGGCTCCAGTCACTTCTGACACATTAGATGAAGTCTCTCACTGTGGCTTCTGAGTTCAAGGTTTTAATTCACCTTGAGCAGTGAAAAGGATTCCGCCCTGAGCTCGGTGCTTTTCATTTCTCAGAACCAGTTTATCCAGGCCCAAGGCCGGTCTTTGACTGGCCTGGAGAAAACAGAGCCGTTAATGACAGTTAAGGTATTAATTGCAGAAAGTGCTTCCCTAATTGCAGAAAGTGCTTCCCTAAGTTTGTTGACAACAAGTTACTGCCCAGCAGAGCCAGTGAAGTGCATCCAGCTTCCATTTACAACCTCTGGGCGGGCTTTTCATCTCATGCTTCAGGATTTTCGTTATTACGGTTGCCAACAGTCCAGGCCTGTAATTTACAAGTCAGACCCACATGTCACTTCGAGAGAAACCCAAACCTAAAAATAGTCCTGAAACTCAGGAAAACACCAACCCAGATAAATAAATCTCACGTCAAACGTAGAAAGCTTGTAAAGCCTGGGCTCAAGGTTACACTAATTGCTTAAATTTCAACTGATTTGTGCAAGTACTGTCGACCACTCAGTGCACCACTGCCCAGGGGAGGTGGTGAAGATGTCCCCCCATGCAGTGTTTTGCTTTCTTCCTCTGTCTGTGACTGCTCATTCCTTTCTTAGGTAAAATACTGCTCTTTCTACCACAGCCAGGGTGAAACTTCCAAAACATTGCACCATTGAAAGCCAAGGCAGCCTTGCAAGGTGGCCCAGGCCTGCACCCTGCACTTGGGGAGGGTGAGGCAGGAGCAACGAAAGTTTGAGTCCAGCCTGGCAGTCTAACAAGAGCCTGTTAAGGTTTCCAGCTGTACCTCAGAGTGTTGTCTGCTCACAGGTGGGGCTTTTGGAAGGTGAGTGGATGACAGGCAACTGCCACTGACTTGCCCCAGTTAGGAGCTGGGCTCCGGTTGGAAGAGGGTATCACTGCGGGTAGCCGGCAGGGCTTATCTCCCTCCAGGGCTCTCTGGGCTTCCTGTCTGCCCCACAGCGAGCAGCTCTCAAGCTCCTGCACGTCTCTGTGCCCAAGTTCCTCCGCCACATCTCTGACCATGTGAGGGCTAAAACTTCTAAAACACCAGCCACAGGAAGCCTATTCTTTAGGTTTTGGGTGCTTGATATTTTGTCCCACTGAGGAGGAAAGTGGCTAAAATACCCTGTCTTAAAATAAAAAGGGTTGGAGCCGGGGATTTAGCTCAGCGGTTCCGCCTGCCTGGCTTGCAAGCTCAAGGACCCGAGTTCGAACCCCGGTACCAAAAAAAATTAAATAAATAAAAATAAAAAGGGCTGGAGATGCAGCTGGGTGGAATAACATTCCCTGCCTCTCACACCAGGCCCTGCATGCCATCCCAGTTTGGGGGAGGGAAAGGAAAAGGCTGTTCATGTGCTCACATGCACGGAGCCCTTGGTGGGAGCAATCAAAGTGGCCAGGATTCAGAGCCTCTCAGGGGAAGGAGGGGTCAGGAGGTCAGGAGAAGGCCGGCCATGGGCTGGTGGGCAGGAGCAGGCTTTGTCCTTCAGGACGTCTCCTCGGGGAGGTTCTACTCCTTGTCCCCTGTGGTACACATGGCCCATGGGGTTGTGTAAGCCCGTTCCCCACAGTCACGGATTTTAGATAAGTGAAATTCTGAGGGGGCTTGCATTCCCACAGCTGTTGAATCTCAGCTGTTCGAATCATCTTTGTACCAACTCTGGGTCCCCAAAGTCTGAGGATGTAGAAGGAAAGGCCCGCTCCAGCTCAGACTGTTTCTCCTCCACTGATGACACAGATTCCTCTGACACCGTGTGGTGGGCTCTCCCTGAACTCGAGCAAGTGGCAACTCCACGGCCCACCCCCATGGGGCGCTCCCTGGTTTGTTTTTTTATTCCTGTGGTGCCAGAATCCCTCAAGGCGGTCTCTCCACCATGGCACCACAGTGAGCAGGGCGTCGAGGCCACGGTGAGGGCGCCATCACGAACTGCCCTTCTGATGCCAGCTGCAGGCCCTACGTCATCTCACCTGTGCTTCTGACCCCAGGTTGGGGGTCCTCCAGCCCGCCCCTGGGGTTCCACTAATTTTCTCAATAGCTCATGGTACCCAGGGAAACAACATGCGAGAGTTTATTTATGCTCCTCAGCACTGAGGGTTGAACCCAGGGCCTTCACATTTAGCTTTCCCAGCCTTCGTCTAGTAAGTTGCTAAATTGCCCAGCCCCGGCTCTACCTTGCAATCCTCTCACCTCAGCTGCCCGGAGTGCTGGGATTACAGGCGTGCATCGCCATGTCTGACTTTACCAGTTTACTATGAAGGATGGTAGGAAGGGGACAGACAGAGAGATGCCCGGGTGAGACCTGTGGCTGCCCTGCTGTCTCCAGCGCTGTCCGCTGGGTCTGAGACGGCACAGGACGCACACAGACGGAGTGGGGAGCGGGGACCGGACCGGCGAGGCCGTCTGGCTTCCTCAGCAGCCCTTCCTTCTGTGCGCAGGCAGGCCCTCTGAACGGGGCTCTCCTCACCTGTGTGGAACAGGGTGGGTCGGAGAAGTTCTGTGGGCTGGGGGAGATCAGTTTCTGTGCCTGCCTTGGGGAGAGAAAAGGACAGGCAAAGTGGGGACAGGTCAGGCTGTGCTTTCCGAGCCCCAAACACCCAACATTGTTCTACTCCGGGCAGTGGGAGCAATGAGCCAGGGACGGGGTGAAAACCAAAAGCTATCGGTACCACAAGGTAAAGAACAAAAATAGGCTTCCTGGGCTGGGGATGTAGCTCAGTGGTTCCGGCACCACCTGCCTCGCAAGTGCGAGGACCCAAGTTCAATCCCCAGTACCAAAAAAAAGGCTTCCTACAGAGTAATTATGCTCCAGACAGCGTGGTTATCACCTGCCCAAGTTCTAGGCTTCCAGTCTTCCAGGTTGGTCTACGAATTTCAATTTCTCTCCCATACTACTGTCAGGGCCACTGCTTCAAAACAGATCTTTTACTAGGCCAGGTGCAGGGACACAGGCCTGTAGTTCCAGTGACTCTGCAGGCTGAGGAGCAGGATCACAAGTAAAAGCCCAGCCTGGACAACTTAACAAGACCCCATCTCAAAATAAAATAAAAGGGCCTGGGTGCAGTCCAGTGGTAAAGCATCTGCCTAGTATGCACAAGACCCTGGGCTCAGTCCCCAGTACCACACTGAATACATGAACACATAAAGCAACGAAACCTTTTACTGTATTTTTGTATAAGAATAGTCTCCTATTGGTTGCGTTTATCTGGGAAAATGCACATTGCCATTACCCCAGTGCAGGATCTTATCATCGGACCTCTGTAGTATTGGAAGCTGGTCTTTGCATAGGAAGCAGCTCCCTGTCCAAATCTGACAGACCAGCTCCGAGCTGGTCTCCTTCCAGTTGTTCCCAGAGCTCAGGACAGAACGCTAGAGGTAGGTGATGTAGGCCCTTGGCGATTTGCCACCTGCCCCTCACATGGCCTCGCGTTCCTCTTCCTCTGCTCTTGCGGTCTCCCGGCTCTGCGTGATTCTGTGAGCATGGGCATCTTCTCCCTCTCTGGATTTCTCTTTTTCTGTTTTTGTTGTTTTGGTGTTGCTGGGCCCTGGACCTGTGGCCTGGCCTGTGCTGCATCTGGATCTCTTACCTCCTACTTCCCACCTACTCATTATTCTGGGTAGTACATGGCCTACCTTTTCTCAACGTCCAAGTTTTCTTTTTACTGCCTGCACTAGTTTCCTATTGCTCCTGTAAAAATTACCAAAAATGTTAGTGGCTTCAAACAACATACCTTTCTTCTCACAGTTCTGAAGGTCAGAGGTTCAAAGTGACTTTCACTGGACAAACATCAAGGTGTCAGCAGGTTGGGGTACTGCAGCTCAAGCCTGGGGTCTCCGGAACTCTGGAGGGCAAGGTGGAGGACCTGATCCCCGGCGTTCAAGACAAGCCTGGGCAATAGCCAGAGCCTGTCTGTAAAAATATAAATAAAATCAATTAAAAAAAAAAAAAAAAAGAGCTGAGTGTGGTGGTGCCTGCTTATGTTCCCAGCACTCAGGTTGGGACAGGAGAATCACAAGTTCAAGCTTGGCCTAGGCAAGGACCCGAGTTTGATCCCCGGTACCAAACAAATGAACAAACAAACACTAAAAAGGGCTGGAGGCATAGCTCAGTGTGAAGGCTTAGGGGAACATTCAGCTATAAACCATAACATTCCAGCCCTGTCCCCAAAAGATTCATGTACATCTCTTTATGCAAAACACATTTAGTCTATCTTGAGTTGCTAAAGTCCTAATAATTCCACCATTACTGAAAAGTCCAAGTCTGAAGTCTCCTCTGAGACTTAAGGCAAACTCTTAGCTGTGAGCCCCTGTACAAATCAAAAACAAAGTGGGTCAGGGATGTAGCTCAGTGACACCACACCTGCCTGGCAAGCACAAGATCCTGAGTTCAATTTCTGGTACAAAAAGTAAAAATAAAAAAGCAAGTTAAATGCTGCTGATATACAGTGGCACAGAGTAAACGTTCCCATTTCAAAATGGAGAAACAAAGTGACAGAAACCAGTGAGACAAATTAGAACTGAAACCCAGCAAGGCAAACATTCAAACCTGTAGCTCCACATCTACCAACCAAGGCAAGCTATGGCTGGATGGGAACTCCGAAGGGCTTCGGTAGCCCCACCCTTCAGCAGTACTGATGGTTGTAGCCCTCGCGGCTTCTCTCTTGAGCCTTCTTTACACACATTTCCTGAGGTCTCCACTGCATTTTTGATCCCACTCACACAGCTTCAAGCACTGCCTTCTCAGGGCACACTGCCTGGCCTCCTAGGTCTCCTGAAATCTGAGTAGAAGCCTCTATGACCCCACAACTCTCACATTTTCTATGTCTGTAAAACCAGCACCATCTTGATGACACTATGGTCTACACTAGCTCCAACAATAGCCAAGCCCTTTTGCATCATGGCTGCAGGGGTCCCTGAGTGTCTGGATGGCTAAGTACTGTGAATGGAATCCTAGGAAGCCAATTTCTTAGGAGATTTACTGGAGCTGGGTACCCTGGGCCATTCTTTTTTTCCCCCCATTCTTCTCAAAGTGAAGTCTTTTACTTTTCCACCCTTGAGCTTGGAAAGGGTGGGATCTTTCAAATTCCTTTCATGCCCTCAAGACATCCTTAGTACTATCCTGATGTAGGCTTCCTTTTAATTTTTTGTGGGGGAGGGTACTGGGGATCGAACTCGGGTCCTCGTGCTTGCAAGGCAGGTGCCAGAACCACCAAGCTAAATCCCCAGCCCCAGCTTCCTTTTAATATTAATCTTTTCAACAACCAAACTCTCCTCTGTGCCAATTAAGAGGCTTCAAATTTACAGGAGTTTCTTTTCTGGTGAAACTCAAAACTTTAAAAATTGCATCTGGACATGGTGGCACACGCCTGTAATCCCAGCACTTGGGAGGCTGAGGCAGGAGAATCACCTCGAGTTCGAGACCAGCCTGGGTTACATAGTAAGTTCCAGGTCAGTCTCAACTACATAGTGACTCTGTCTCAAAAAACAAAAACAAAAACTTTAAAACTTACCCAGCTGTGCCATTTGCTCTTGATTTTCAGTGTAGAACTGGCTAAAAGCCCCCAACAGTACCTATGCTACAGCCTGAACATTGGTTACCTTTGAGATTTTGGCTATCATATTAATTAACCTGATGCCCTTAATCTCAGACTCCCACAAAGTTTCAGGACATGAACAAAATGAAGACAAATTTCATGCCACAGCAGAATACACATGGTCTTGGGTCCAACTGCCAATGGAATCCAAATTCCCAACAAACCTTCTGAGCCTGGTCTTTCTCCTCTTTTTACCAGAATTTTGGTCTTCTTATCTGTGCCCAGAATCTCCCATCAAGCTTGGCTCACAACATTCTAGGGCTGCTTCTTCAACCATCATTTCCAAACCTTTACAAACTCCTCCCTCAAACCAGTTCCAAAGGCTTCTGAAATACAAACATGTCAACCCCACTGCTCTGGGACCAAAATGTGTCTTAGTTACTTTCTCATTCCTACAACAAGATCCAATATCCACAATTTAAGGGAAGAAATGTATTTTGGCTCACTGTTTGTGGAAATTTCAGTCCATCGTTAGCTGGCTGGAAGGCAGAATGGCTGAGTGGAAGGGGCTGAGCAGGGAAAAGCTGCTCACCTCATGGCATCCATGAAGCAGAGAGCAAATGGAGGAACCAGGCCCCACCTCCACTGACCTGCCCCTTTTGGCCAGGCCCCACCTGCTAACATCACATTGAGCCATCACACCCCTGCAGTCCCATCATCTTGCATAACCCCCAATTTGAGCACATGAGGCTTTGGGAAGACATTCAGATATAAACCATAACAATGATCACCATTATGGAAATTATGAAAAGCAACTCAAGCATGTCCCTAATTGTGGGTCAGCTCTATCATCCCTATTTAATAAAAACAATCTAATTAAATTCAAACCTAGGCAGCCAGGTGGGAGAAGGATCTCAAGTTCAAGCCCAGCATGGTCAACTTAGTGACTTAGTGAGACCCCATCTCAAAATAAAAAATGAGGGCCAGGGATTTAGCTCAGCGGTTCAGTGGCCTGCCTTGCAAGCGCAAGGACCCGAGTTCAATCCCCGGTACCCACTCAAAAAAAAAGAAATGATCCAGTTATTCCTCTGCAAGGTGTCTTCCCAAAAGAATTAAAAGCATCATACCATAGCAATATATGCACACCCATGTTTATACTGGCAGTTTGTAATAGCCAAAGCTTAGAAATAGCCAGTTTGACCATTAACTGGAGACTGGATAAAGAAGATGTGGTATTTTTTATAAAATGGAGTACTACTACTTAGACATAAAGAATGAGAAACTAGAGAGATTTATAGCTAAATGGATGCACACAGAGGTGATTCTCTTTTTTTGGAGGGGGGTACCAGGGTTTGAACTCAGGACCTTGTGTTTGCAAGGCAAGTGGTGGTACCACTGAGCTAAATCTCTAGCCCCTGAGGTGATACTCTTAAGTGAAATAAATAGGATACACAAATAAATAGGATAAACCAGATACCTTCCCTGGTGTGAGAAGCCAAAAGTGTAAATAAGGATCAAAATGTACAATTGATAATGGGAAATAGGAAGAAAAGGTCTAATTGGGGTGGGGAAGTGGGAAGGGTAGGGGAAAGAAAAGAAGGGAAAGGAAAAAATATGAGAAAAGGAAAAAATGGAAACAAAATCTTTGTGAATAGGGAGGGGTGGAGGGCTTGAGGGGCGGCAGGAGTGTGAAGGATGAGGCGGGAAGGAGAAGCTGGACGTGCAATGGTCCTGGTGCTGGGGGACTTCCTGTATTGCTTTATTTTTATTAAACTCAGGGCCACACATATGTGAGGCAAGCGCTCTATCACCTGCCTACACAGGCAAGTCTTTAATTAGTTCATTAACTTCTCCCTATGTTGCCCAGGCTGACCTTGAACTAGCGATCCTCCTACCTCAGCCTTGCAGGCAGCTGTGATTAGAGAAGTGTGCTACTTAGCCGAGCTCTGAAATGCTCTTTATTCTCTCCCAAGGACAGAATGCTGTGACTGGGATGACTTCATATCCAGGGAGAAGAATTACAGAAACAGCGCCACACCTCCCGTCCCAGTGTGGGGCCACATCTGTTTCCCTGAGTCACAGAGGTCCGATACTCAAGTGTGTCCCACTGTCACAGGTCACAGCTCCCTGGGGCTGAGGTCCTCCCTGGCCATCTCTTAGGTGTGACACCTGTCACTTTCCAAACCCAGGATGGCTCACCCAGCCCAGTGAGCCCCAGACAGCTGACCTCCTTGGAACTGCACCCCACTGTGGTCCTCTGACAAGGGAACCTGCAGCTCCTGCTGTCTGGGGGCTGCCAGGATGGAAGGGACAGAGAAAGCTGAGTGACATTTTCCTACCTGTCTGAGCAAGGTGCTGCTTGTGACAGCAGGATGGGGTCACTGGAGGGCCATCGCAGTCATCTGGTTCACAGATGTTTACACACACACACACACACACACACACACACACACAGTAAAGTAGCCATCTTTCTCACTCTCTTAATAACATCTCTAAAGAGAGGAGCCAGAGGGCTTGCAGGGCCTTCTTTCTGTGCAAAAGAACCTGGTAACTTGCACCTGGGAGTCACGGAAAAGCAGCCTAGAACCTCACTGCCACAAAACAAATACATAAAATTTAAAAACAAAAAGGCTTTAAAAAATGAAAGTAAGCAAGCCCAGGAGATGCCACAGGAGAAAGCTGATGGTAGCTGCTGAGTCCAGGCCGAAAGCACAAGAGGAGGAGACTGTGGCCGCCAGAGCTCAGAACAGCTCATCAGACAGTGGGAAGAGAAGCCAGCTGGCCCCACAGGGTAGGCACGGAGGGAGTCTTTAGGCCAGCACCAGTGAGATTCCTTAAATTGGTATCGTTAATATGAAATGTTAATTGAAGTCAGACGTATTGGTGCACACCCGTATAGCAGCAATATGGGAGGCTGAGGCAGAAGGATTGCCAAGTTTGATCCTAGCAACTTAGTGACCTTGTCTCAAATTTTTAAAAAATATAAAAAGGGCTGCCAATGCAGCTCAGTTCAAAGGATCTGGGTTCAATCCCCAGTACCACCACCGATAAAATCGAAGTTATGAAAAGTGACCTTATCAGCTAATTTTATGCACACACAAACACAGATTTTGGTTGTTATTGTAAAAGAAACCGACCTCTCACCCAAAATGGTTCCTTGACAGGCAATTCCTCAAGAAAGAAACCTCATATGTTTTTGGTGCATATGTTGTCAGTCCTGCTCGGTCACATTCCTGCCCTGGTCCCCTTGCGTCCCCTGAGCCAGGTCAATCGTTCTTTTTCGAAGCACTGTGGGCAGGATCTCCTGTGTTTGTTACCTTCCACCTTTGGGGGGCCAGGCAAACTCTTCATCCTGTCATTTTCG